ACATGATTCGCCGTTAAAATGGAGAACGGCATTTGAGGATAACATTTAACTATTTCTAATGTTGTCGCCCACAGTAAGTACTAGAAGCTACGTCTAATATAAAAATCTTCCGGACCCATATCAGAGATCTGAAGCAACATTATTTTGACGTGCTTAGGTTGCGAGGGGCTGCTGATTTCCAAACGGCATGCAAGACGATGAAGAAAATAAGGGCCTGAAAAGACAGCATCTTCCTGCGTCACTATCTGTTTTGTCAGATACTCGCTGGGAATGCAGCCAATGCATGCATATTCATATATGCATGAAGTGAATGTAACTAAGCAAAGGTAGACCGGAATGGCCGTTTCCGGCTTGTAAGGCGTCATCAGCCAGGCACAGCCAAGCTCAAAAGTGGGCACCCTAGAGATTCGAACCCGAGACCTTTGGTCATTTGGAGTTTACCACTCTACCATTGCACATGGGGTTCGGCACTTTGTCGGTTTAGATCAGTAATATGGTACACATGTGGGCATCGTCGATCTGGTAATGGAATAATTAAGTTCCGCTTTTACCTCAAACGTCTCATTAGAGACCCAAGCAGGCAGCCGAATAGCAAATACATTAGTCGCCGGATATTAAGCCCACCTCGGCCCCACACCAAATTGGGCTTAATAAGTTGCGGGCGCACTAACCGGAGAGTCCTATTTCTTGATTAGCAAACACAGGATAGGCACTATACATTACATACGTACTGTATCATATGAAGAGCTTGGTTATGAGAAGAAAAAATGCTGTTTTCCTGTATTTTACGTAATAACAAAAACAAAAAAATTATCTGTGACACCTTTAAATAAAACGATCTAGTGTCAGTCGTTTTGGAGGAAACTTAACTCGCAAGCACTCTTTGATGTCCTTCTCCAGGCACCAGACATCGTCAAATTTTGTGAAATCTGATGCCTGTAGACGGCGTTGCAGAGTGTAGAGGGCAGCACTCATCTGTGCAGCAGTGGGAACTGGCTCTTCGTCCTCATCATCATCATCATCATCATCAACAACTTCCTCCTTTGCTTCTCTTCCATTCTTCACTTCTTCCTTCTGAATGATTTCATTGACCA